ATAATTTGGGATTTGTCCTATAGTTTAGATTTTATTTTATAGTTTGGGATTTGTCCAAAGTTTGGGATTATGGAATGCCCAAATATAATTTTTCCAGTTTAACCAATGGGATTTAACCAATGGGATTTGGGTTTTAGTGGGCGTTTGAAAATTTTAAGTTTGGATGGCAACTATAATTATATTTATTAATTAATTATTAAATTACAAAAATATAAATTAAAGAATTTGTTTTAAAAACCTGTTATATAAACTATATATCAATATTTTTATTGATTATTATATATATTATAATATTATTATTTCAAAAAAAAAGTTTTTTTAAATTGTTATTTAAAATATATTCAGTATTTTTCAAAAAATCTTTTATACTTTATATAAATATATATATAGATACACAATGTGAATTTAATTAATATAAAATAAAAATTTAATGTTTAATTTTAAATCAAAAAAAAAATTTTTATTGCTAAAATTTGTCCAATTATTTATTGAAAATTTTATTGTATAATTTATTTAATGTATAAATCTATATTTTATATATATTAACAGATAAAAATATTTAATAAAAAACTTTTTATATTAAATTTTTATTACAATACTGTACTATATTGTATATATGGTTAGATATTTAAAAAATACTGTAATACTGTAAATGGAATTCCAAAATTATTGTCATTAACCCGTTACACAGTAATTCCTGAGGAACAGTTTTTTCACAAAGCGAAATTTTACATACTGATTAACAAAAAGCATGCACTGATTCTAAGGTCATGAAATTCTTTTAAGTTGTAATTGTTTTTTTTTTTGACATGAAAAGTTTCACTGACGGGTTATTGAAAGAAACACATATACATTATCTGTCATACACACGTTCCTTCAGTCTCGATTTATGCATAAGTTTCGATCGCATTCGTGTCATTCTGCCAAATAAGTTGTGCACATATATCATGTACTGTATATACAAATTTAATTAACGTTCTGTGCATCAAGTCTTTTGAAAAACGAAATGACTTCTATGCGTTGAAATGAACGATCAGCATTTTTATTCACTTAAAGGCCTTTTCTTTTGCCCTTCTATGTGTTGTTGTGGACGAGATTATTGAATGCAAATAATCCTTATATTTGCCAAGAATTTCGTCACGATCTTCTGTCAAATGCACGCACACTTCTAATATTCAAGACAACCAATATGACTCCAGGCTTCAATCTTTGTGTCATTGAAGTAGGAACGAATCCCACTTGAAATTTCTACTATATAAAAAAAAAAAAAAAAAAAATTAGATAGTTTAGTTACTTAGAAATATGATAGTAACATCAACTATAAGAAATCGTGGTAATGGCATTGACAGAATGAATTTCCGGAAAGATCTGTTGCAATGAATCTATCTAAGTGGGTTACAGTCGTAAAGAGTCCTAGTAGGTGTTGCAAGTCCCTTCTCCAAACATCGGCTGCAGGAGTCTAAAATAAATGCAGGTCATATACAGGCATAGGTATAATCTGTGATGCCATCAGAGCGTGGAGATGGAAGCAAATTGAAGGTTTGGAAATTTACTTCCTTGTTCTTCTTTGCTTTGATTCATTAATATCAATTAAAGCAGTAAAAGAGAATAAGAGTCGCGCATATGCGTAATGATTAACATAATCACGTGAATTTACTTGGTGACTTCATTGGTTAATTATAAGAAGATCATATCGTACATATTACTGTACGTTTATTTTCTCGTAAGTTTCTCTGCGTTATTCTACTTTAAGTTTGAGCATGTGTTTATAAATCCCAATAATTAGGTAAATAGTTGTTACAGGATGTCCAATAATGACCCGGTCACAACTCCTGCTGATTCTAATCAGCCATCGGAAAAGCAGAAAGCATTGATGGGTCTTCTCTACAATGCAAGTTGTGAAGAATTACTCCAAGATCGATTAAGGGCTAAAGAATTATTGCAACAATTTAATAATTCCAAACCGTGCATATTCAATACTAAAGAGTATGATGAGACTAGGGGGAAGATTATTAAAGAATTGTTAGGAAGTATTGGCGATGAATGTTACATAGAATCACCATTTTATTGTGATTATGTGAGAAATTTATTTGTTATAACGGAAAGACATACGAAGGATGATTAAATACATTCTAAAATTAATTATAGGGTTATAACATTCACATCGGCAATAGTTTTTTTTCGAACTTTAACTGCATTATCTTGGATTGTAACCGTGTGGATATTGGGGACCGAGTAATGTTTGGCCCTAATGTACAATTATACCCTGCCACACATCCTGTACAGCCGGAGGAGAGAGCCAAAGGTGACGAACTTGCATTTCCTATTAAGGTAGGGTATATTGAAAAGAAACAAACATGTAAATTCTTTTTTCTTGAGATAACTTGATTATTTATTGTGTTTGCATAGATTGGAAACGACGTTTGGATAGGAGGCGGCGCAATTATTTGTCCTGGAATCACTATTGGTGATGGGGTATGTTAGTATTTCAACAATGTACTTTTTGATATGAAGATATCAAGCTTATTAATCATTGATAAATTAGGTTACAATTGGTGCAGGTTCCGTGGTATACTGTATATAACAATTTATTTGATTTAATATCATCATTTTTTTTAAAAAAGATAAAAAGCCAGTTATTTTTATTTTTTTAATTTGCCGATTTCGACTAACAATGTTTTTACGAATATCTGTGCTTATCAAACAGGTAACAAAAGATGTTGAGCCATATGTTGTTGTTGCCGGAAATCCTGCAAAAATTATTAGACGTTTAAAACAATAGAATATCCAGAGTCAATACTCAAAATTTCAAAATTTCATGAATTTAAAGTATTTAATGGTTAATAAATTGTTTTATAAAATGTTTTGAATCATTGAAAAAGGAGATGATTTTTAATATTATTATTTATTTTATATATAAATAAAAAATTGTTTTCCATATAACAATTGATGTAAATAACATGTTTTGATTATTATCTTTAAAGTAAGAGTAATTTATATTTTTATAATTCAGATGATCCTAAAAAAATAATAATAAAAATAATAATAAAAATAATAAAACCAGGTAGTATCACATTAGATCGGAATCGCGTAAAATAATTAAATATAGATACTGTTATTTAATAATTTTTATTACTTAATAATTATTAAATATTTATTGATTAAAATAATTAGATAGATATATGCAGTACCGTCAGAAAAAATTGACCATATTTTTTATTGTATTTCAATATTAACATTAGTTAGAAATAAATTTTATTATTTTATAAAATTAAAAAAAATTTAATATTTTTAATATTTTTAAAATTGTTATTTTTTGATTTGAATTTTATATTAATATCAAAATATCAAAGGTCATTATAAAAAAATATTATAAAAATAATAATTAATTTATTATTATTATTATTATTTTAGTAGGATACCATTCAAACATGTTTTTTTGATTGTAAAAAGGCATTAAATACGAAATATTTATTAAATTTATTATCATTATACTATCAGTTATTTATATAAGTTTATATAACTTATTACAACATATGCAATTAATATATATTGTTGTTAAGAATATGTTTCAAAATTATACAGGATATAAAATTTTATAAATAAATCATGATCAATGTAAAATATAAAAACTTTAATTTTTAAAACTCAAATAAGTAAATGTTAAAAATTTAATAATAATTAATATCAAATTTATATTTTTTAAAAAAATTTTAAAATGTTTATGATAATAATTAAAACTGTCAATTTGTTTTTTTTTAAAAAAAATTTACTATAAATTTCCTTATACAATTTCAAAAAACAAATATATTTTCATATTTCAAAAACAAATTTATTTTTTGAATTATTTAGTTAATAAAAAAATATATTATTAGTATACAGTAACTTTTGTTATTAACGAATTTAAATTCGAAATAAAAAATAACTATTGTTGTTATTTTATTTTTAAAAAATCAGATTTGTAAAGTTTTGTTATTTGAACAATTTTAAACAAATTTTGAATTATAGATAATACGTAGTCACGTATATTTAGAATTCATTTTTTTAAAATACGAATTCAATTTCGTATTTTTTATAATCTAATTTAAAAAAATTATTTTATTTTATTTTTCAAGGTATGAATTAACGAAATAAGATTTATTTTATAGATTATAATTTTTAAATTTCGAAATTTTTTAATTTGCTTTCAAAAACAATTTGGTCATAATGTACATGAAATTTGGATTTAAAAATATATGATTTAAACACATTTCATTATATACATGTGTGCTGTATATATGATTATATTTATTCGTTAATAAGTTTATTGGATATTTTGTTATTGTTTCAAATATTTTAATTCTTACATATTTAGATATCAAATAATGTGAGTTTTTGCATTTAACATGGGTTGCCCATGTTATGATTATTATTTGATTATTTTTCGATACGTACGTCTCATATATTTGAAACTCAGAAAACATATTACCGCCATTAGACTTGAAACACTAATTGTATGCATCTCAATCTTGATCTTCATCGTCGTCTTCGACTACGTAATAGAATTAAATAAATTAGATTCTAGATGACATAAACATACATAATATTTAATGCTTACTCGTTAAATCATTTAAACTCGGGAGTTTAATCTCAAGCTGTTCGGCTATTGGTTGAAAGAATAAAATTATGTTAACTCAAAGTCAATCTAAATTTATTAATGCGTACTGTACAGTACCTGCAGTTGCATTGATAGGATCGGGAAGACCCTCAAAATTCAAACGTTTACTCGTATAAATGGCCTGAGTGTGTGTGGTGTAATTGAATTGCGTGGTTTTGCTCGGATCGTATGCTGAAGAATCTTTTGCAGATTCCTCCAAAGATATAATTTGTCTAACAATTTCTGTATCCTTCATACGATTTAATTCTTCTCGATACGCATATATAATATCTTTCAACCTCTCTGCAGAAGGTCGCTTGGAGACTTCTGCATCTAGGCATTCATTAATTAAATCCAAAAGCAACCGAGGAACCTGACATCTGATTGCAGGACGAAGTCCATGACAAATTTGGAATGCAAGGTTCCCATCGTGCGGTTGGTCGTGAAAAGGTGGGTAGCCCGTGAATAATTCGGTCATGAGGATTCCAAATGAATACACATCGGATGCCATAGTATACTCCTTTCCTTTTAATATCTCTGGTGCAACGTACGGAAGCACACCAAAAATATCATCAGAAGATGATTCTTGCGATACTGGTTTACACAAACCAAAATCCGCAATGAACGAAGAATTGTAAGCGGAAAAAAGAATATTTCCACTATGAAAGTCTTTGTGTACTAATCCAGCTCTATGAATGTTAGCGAGTCCTCCAATTATACTTTCCAAGATGTTTAATTTGATATACCAATCTAATTTAGCATACTTTTTATCAAGTATCTGTCGAAGGCTTCCTCCGGGAGCATACTTCATGACTATCACATAATCACATTTTTCCGTGTCTTTTGTGATTCCGTATATCTGAATTGCGTCATCAGTGAATCGGAGTTGGTTCTTAACCTATGAATATTAAATAACATGAATTTACGTCTATTTCCCCTGATATAAGTTTCCTTTGTTATTACCTCTTGAAAAAAATCATTTGAAATATTGGCGGAATTATCTAAATGTTTTAGGCAAACCAATTCCTCACGACCACTCCTTTTCCATTCTTTATTTTTATGATTCCAAGACTTTATATATCCACCAATCCAAGTGGCCTTGAAAATTTCTCCAAATCCACCCCTAGCGAGGAATTCTATATTTTGAAATTTGTCATAGGGTATCCATTCGATAAATTCTTTGTAATTTTTTGCTTCAAGTTGCGTCTCTTGGATAAATCTGTCGATTTCATTGTTGCCACTCGTCCATTTACCAAATTCGCCTTCAAATCTTTTGGAATTACAAGGGTTGCACCATAAATTGTATCCTGTATTATCTTGTTGGCACTCTTCACACTTTCCAAACACATTGACCGACGATTGGCTGTCCATATGGAGTTGAATATGGTAGAGAGAATCAGTGAGCACACTGTGTGTAAATTTTTTTGTACTGTACACGTGGTAGATTACTTATACATGTGGCACAATTACATATTACCTTAACAAGAATAGTTCATACAGTACTGTATGTCGCCTAGATTACTGTATATTGTTGAAGTACTATGGTGGAATTGTGTAAATACGTACGTAAATTGTTATTCATGCAATTTCTTGACTGATCTTTTTAAAAAACTCCATTGATAAAAAAACATTCGATTATTACGAATGTTTTCTTCTTATTTTAATAAATTCCATTTCATCTTTATATAAATTGGTACAAAATGATTTGGCATGTATTCATTATTAAATGCACAAATATCGCATAAAAAATATACGTGTACAAACGTTAAGTTGTTTCGACTGCAGACAATAACGTATGTAATAAATGCAAAAGGGAATCGGAGGAGGTTCATACTGATTCGGTTAAAATGAAAGAATTCTATGAATCGCTAGCCCATTCATTCTCCCTGCGAATTGCTTCTTCTTCTTCAGGTGAAAATTCACCTGTTAAGGAAAATGTTGATCGAATTTCTTCTGGTGACTTTCCTTTAATCATGTTTGCAACAGTTTTGCAACCATAATCTCTGCCGATAAATACAATGGGTAAGAAATGAAGATGATATGATTTAAAAGGTGATGGTGCACCATATGACCGTAACAAAGAATAAAAACATACAGTAATTTCTTGATTTCCAAGTAGTTAGCAGCCTGGTTATTTGGGTATTTAGGTAAAGAAGAAAAAATAAGCCACCAAAAAGCTACCTAAAAATTCTATATACAACAATAACATCCAATAATTACATGCCACAATGATTTCAAAAAGCATAGCCTGTTCGACATTAAAGAATCTTGCTATCCAAGCGTCCATCTCATCATGATTATGATTTTCAGCATGATACTCACACCACTCGAGAATCTAATTCTCAATTAAAAGTTACATATTAGATTTTATCATTTATTATTGTTAATCAATTAATTATTTGCGTTAAATGCATCACCTTTCTGAATATTTTTTCGTCGATATTCGGAAGTGGAATTAATTGTTTGGTCTCACCAACATCTTAAGAAATGAATCACTATTAATTTTGAATTTACCGTACATTCATAACCTTCCAATTATAATCGCAATATCCTACTTTCTACTCTATACTGTATATGAAAGAATGAAATACGCACCTCCAAACAAGCCCCCCAATAAAACACGAGCAACTGGCATTTCAACTTTGAATTCAACATTATCTTTGATAACTACTGTAACATTCATATTTTCAATTTCAACAGGATCAGTGTCGTTATTCATTTTGAATATGATTTTTCTTACTTCTAAAATATAAACCTTACTGTGTGGATTGAATGGTATGTAATGCAAACGTACAATACAGTTTATTTTTATACCACAAAAAGAGAATCAACTGTGTCCTATAAAAGGAAAAACGGACAGATCATATGATACTTTTCCGAGTTTTATTGATTGCTTCCAAACATGGTGAGGATAATAGAAAAAGTGCTCACGTTTGCATATGATGTACAATGTACAGTACTGTACTCTATATCGAAGCTATTCTGATCATTTCGTCCAGCTTTAACTCATATTCTTCAAATTAAACAAAATACAGTGAATATTAATTTCTCGAATCGCACTATATTCTCTTGCTCAGATTTCTGTACATTGTTACAGCGACCGAAAAATATAAAAAATGATACAGCATACATTAATCAATGGTATCCATCGTTGTACAATATTGATTATTTATATAATATTATTCTTACATTATATGTGCTACATTTTTTTTATTTTTCAAATAATACTAGTATTTTTGTAACTATGTTGTTAGAACGAATTATTGCTTTTTTAGATGCTCTGACAGAGATATCAAACTGATATTGAATTATTCCATATTTATACATAATTTATTAAATTTTCAAAAATATAAAGATACTAAAATGCAATGAAAACATTTATTGAATTTTTAAATTAGAATTTAAAATCCATTATTATATTCCTTAAATAATTTAAAAAATTCAAGTTAAATTGATTAATATATTTTACGATTTTGAAAAATCGTCAAATATTAATAATAAAAAGTAAATAAAACAAATAGAAAAATAAACAAATTATATGAAAAATATATTAATAAATAAACTTAAACCCATATTAATAAGTCATTAAATAAAGAGTTTGTTAAATACAGTATAGCACTATTCTTATTTAATATCTCAACTATTATATTTTGAATTAATTATTATTAAAAATCAATATTTTTAAAATATGTTTTTATTTGCTAATTATTTTTCTTTGTATTAGTTTACTAATTCACCACCATTTTTATACAATTGCCAAATTTAACAAGAAAAATAAATTTTATTAATTAAATTATTATGTAAATAATAAAACAAATATTAAATACAAGTTAATTCAATGTAATTCTTTTTTTTCTTTATTTGTTTAATTTTATAGCTATTTACAGTATATTATTCACAAATTGTCTATAAATTATTGTTGCATTATATAAATTTTCTATAAGAATTGTAAAATTTTTTTAATTGATATATAATTTAATATATTAATTATTAATCATATTCTATTATATGCATTATGCTATTTGTATTTATTTTATATATTTTTCAATATCAATATTATAAAAATTTTTATACTATATTAATTGTTATATTTTATACAAAAAAATAAAGGATTTTTGAAATAAAGTTGTATTGATTTATAATTATTAAAAAAAACAATAAATAACAAATAAATTAAATAATTATTTTTTATTAAACTATTATTAGTTAAGAAAAAATAAATGGTAAAAAAACTCTCACCTGTTCACCACTGATTCTTGAAAAATTTTCTTTTATGGTAATTTTCTTTGAAAAAGCACTTTTCACTCTCTCTTTATATTATATATGCCATAAGTTTAAGGACACAAGGATATTAAGGACCAATGTTGCATCGGGATGAGACCTCTGAACAAAGGTCAAGCAAGTTTAAAAGTCTTGCTTGTTCTCTGTTTGCATGAGGAAAGGCCTGTAGCAGTTCTCATTGATAACTTTGTCTTTATATGCCTCTCTCTATTTATATGCTACCATCACTATCTCTATACTATTTCCTAACATTACAAACATACTTCTAAAAACATACTTAAATAAAATTCTTAGGTCTTTTACTTGTCTCAATCAAATCTTCTCAACTACTCTCTGTATAATATACAATGCTGTACCAATTTATTTCAAAAAAATTTAACAAATTCCAAAAATCAAAAACAGTTTCATCCCTCCAAATGATCTACACATACTTAACAACTAATCACATATCAATAAGCCAATACAACAACAATCAAACCAGTTTAAACCTGTTTAAAACAATAACAACAATCACAATACAATATAATAACACCCCAATGATTTTTTCAAACAATATAACAACCCTAACGATTCTTTTAATTACTGTATAACAACTCCAATATTTTTTTAGTCAATACAACAATCCCAATATTTTTCCTAACCAGTACAACAATTCTAATGGTACATTTATATGAAAATTCTGGACTTTTCATATGTCTTACTCAGCTCTTAACTCAATTAACAAAATTACAATCAAACAAACTGCTATTATAGTTTTACAGATCCAGGTAGCATATTCAAAATCCAATTAGTAACATTAGCCACAATTATTTTAAATTTATATTGCGATACTACAACCTTAATAAACTCACAAGTCACAAATTTAATCAATCCATTCAAGTCACAAGTCCTTGTATATTAGCTCTGGAAAGGCATTAACCATCCAGCACTAGAACTAATCTAAGTTATATTAAGTGTAAAAAGAATAGTAATAGTTTTCATCATAGATAGGTTAACATTAATTTGTATATTTTACTATGTAAAGATGTTTGATATAATTTGAATATTATATATATATTAAATAAAGTTTTGCAACTAATACTCTTCTATGATAAAAAAAATTATTAGTTAAGAAAAAATTATAGAATACAATAATATAATATAATAAATTATATTAATATGTTTTTAATTCCAGAATAGATTAGCCATATGAAGTAAAAATATAATAATAATCAAGTTTTAAATAATTGTCTTAATATTGTTATAGATTATTTTTTTTTCTTCGCAAAGGGCATTAAATGTAGGACTTTATTAAATTTTCATTTATTGCTATTATATTAACAATCTTTACATAAGTAAATTAATTGTAGCTTATTGCGACAATATAATGTGACATATATGGCCTTTGAAAACCCAAGTAGGAAAAAATAAAGAGTAAATAATGGTTAGCTACTAATTATATTATAAACCAGTATGTGTGCTTGCTAAAAATAAAAAGAGAATTATTTAATGTAATTAAGAAAATCAGGTTTTGAATATACTAGGCCTGGGAACCAGTTTGTTGTTGTAGTACAGCCTATGGGTCTTTCTATAATTGGGGGTTTTGTTCCTAATATGGCATAATCATCTTGCACTGATCTTTTAAGGGGGTAAGCTAATCACAGTTTTTTAATAAGAATAGGAATTGTGAGAATAAACAAGAAGATCAATTTCATGAAAATTCTTCTTGAATATATGTAAATGATGAAAATATCAAGTATTTAGAATGGAAATACTTATCTAGTATATACCTTTGATCAACTATTTCAGACAGACCAGGAGCTTAGTTATGCAAAACCTTATGTATCTGGCCTTTTTATATTAGAAAATTATTACCTTTAACTACCTATTGTCTCTTTCCACACATTCTCAGACTTTGATATATAAGTTAGTAACTATTGAAAGTACCCCTGACTGCTTTTGTATACTTTTTGTTACAACTTTCAATTGAAGTGATTTCATTATAGCCTTTTTCAAGTTAAGCTCTTTTAACAAGGAAAGAGATTTTTGTTAAGAGACCCATACCTTTTAACAGAAGTGGTTTCAATTTGAATAAGATATATGCTTGACCAAGATAGGAGTATTGGCATTCCAGAGAGTTGATGCAATGGTTGTGAAGTAAAGAGAGAGAGGCCTAGAAAGAAAACCTTTAAGGAGAAAAAAAAACAGTTTTCAGTAGGAAAGAGAATTGAAAGAAAGGAAAAAGAAGAAAAGGAAAAAAAAAGAAAATTGTTCTCTTGCTTGTGATTACCTAATATATATAGAATCTCACTGCAGAAAAGGTTGGCCAGCCCCAAGACCTTCCTTTTCCTTGTCTCAGACTTCTGTTATGTGCAGGTCTTTGATCAGTTTACACTTTCTTAAGCAAAAGTGTTTTTCAGATATGCCAGCCAGTATTACATATATATATGTTTCTTGGAAAATAATGTCTGACAGTTGGAGAAGCCTTGTATAGTATTAACATATCTCAGACTTTACTTGTTACAGAGTTTCATTTTTAACAGAAGAAAAGAAGCGAAGGGGAAAGGGGGAAAATTTTCTAAAAAGAAAATCTTTAGATGAAATAGAGGTAAGTGGAAAAGAGTTTTTTTTTAGATTATTTTTTCTTAACAATATATATTATTCAATATAAAAAGAAAATTTACAAAAGTAAAAGTAAAGAAAGTATTAATAAAAAAATTAATAAAAATAATTTTAAGTCTAATTATTTTAAAAGCAAATTTTAAATAATAGATTATTCTTTTTTAAATATATATTATTTAAAAAAAATAATTATTACCTGATATAAAAAGTAATTTTAGCTTATTAAAAAGAAATTAATGTTAAAAAAAGAGTTTATTAATAGAAAGATATTAAAAAAGTATAAAAATATCTTACTTACTTTAATAAAGTAATAAACTAATCAATTTTTCAGTATAACAATATATTTAAAAAAATATTATTATATTTTATTATTTATATTTTTTTAAAGCATATAAAGGTTTAATTTAATTTGTTTAATAACAAGTTAAGATTTCAAAATTATATATTGATCAGTAAAAATTAATATTGTAAAAAATACTTTTTCAAACAATTATATTTTGCTACAATTATTATATTTGTTATAAATTAACAAATAATAAATCTTTTGGCAACCTATGCCAACTGGTTCCAAACTGGAGTGTCTACTAGGAGATTTAGGAGTCATGCCTCACTTGGCCACAAGAGCCCCTAGATTTGACAGCAAGCGCCAACCAGTGAACCAAAACCGGAGCATTCACTAAGGAGTGCATACCAATGTTAGACCTCTCTGCCACATTAGCTGCGTGAGCAAAAAGGTGTGATATGATAAGCAACCTTAAGAAATAGTTAGTAGTACTCACTGCCCCTCAAAAATTGGACCGGTAGGTTAGGTGATTTAAACTAGTAGTAGGACTTCCA